CCTGGGTCCTCCTTCTTGCCCTTTTTGAAGATTGGGGTGACACTGGCTTTCCTCCAGTCCTCAGGCACTTTGCCTGTTATCCAGGATCTTTCAAAGATGATGGGAGAGTGGCTTAGTATCGACATCTACAAGCTTCCTCTGCACTTGTTGGTGCATCTCATCAGGGCCCACGGATTTGTGGGTGCCCAGTTTGCTTAAATGATCTCTCACCTGATCCTCCTCAATCAAGGGAAGGTTTTCCTTTCTCCAGGCTTTCTCTCTTACCTCCAGGGGCTGGGATCCCTGAGGGCCAGCCTCAGCAGTAAAGACTGAGGCAAAGAAGGCATTCAGTAACTTGGCCTTCTCTGTATCCTCTGTCACCAGTGCACCCATCTTGTTCAGTAACGGCCCCACATTCTCCCTAGTCTTCTGGTTGCTACTGATGTACTTGAAGAAGCCCTTCTTGTTGTCTTTGACATCCCTTGCCAGATTTAAATCCATATGGGCCTTAGCCCTCCTTGTTGCTTCCCTGTATGCTCTGACAACATTCCTGTATTCCTCCCAAGTGGCCTGTCCCTCTTTCCACATTCCTTAGATCTTTCTCTTCCGTCTGAATTCTGCTAGAAGCTCATTGCTCATCCATGCAGGTCTCCTGCCTCCTTTGCTTGGTTTCTTACTCATGATGATGCGCTGATCCTGAGCATGGAGGAAGTGATGCTTAAATAGCGACCAGCTCTCTTGGACCCCGCTCAACCTTCACATCCTCAACCAGTCCATCTCTATTTGTCAGCATAAGGTCCAACACCTCTTCTCGTTTGCTCCTCCACCACCTCCATCAAAAAGTTATCATCAGTGGTCTTGCAGGAACTTCTTGGAGTGTGTGTGCCTGGCTGTGTGGTCTTCCCAGCAGATGTCAGGGTGGAATCTCCTACTTAAATTTAGTTCTAGAATACCTGCAGAGTTGGCTTGTGAGCAAACTGACAAGTGAATGAAAAAATTTGAACTGTTACAGCCTTATTCTCCAAACAGGTCTGTGCACATCTGCTCGTGTTTAGTCCTTTTGTGAGGAAAAATGTGCAGAAACAGAAATTCCTTTGTCTGATTTGCTGGTATATAACTGTGGTTCTTGCTTTGGGGCTAAAATAATTTGAGTTCTTATCCAGGAACAAATGATGTCTAACTTAATGCAGCTCTGGAAGGGCCTGCCTGGTGAACTTCCAAGATCTGTGTCTTTGGCTTTGACACTAAGGATAGCAGGTTAGGTACAACTGAACCTCTAGATAGCAAGTGTAATAATGTCGAAGTAGTTGGGACCCCATGACATTTCTAGAGAGTAGTGTATGTCAGATATCATGTCTGGATGTAAAGGTTGTTTCTAGCATGTTGTAAAACTATGGAAGCTTTTAGGGGTCCTGAATCAACTCTCGCAGTCCTGATACTCTGTCTTGAAGATGCGTGCCTGATAATTACAAGAAATAACTGATAATAAGTTAATTGCATACATATATTTGTCTTTCAGGTCTCCTGTGCATGTTTAAAAATCTGCACATAATCAGCCACAATGTGCCTATAGGGTAGAAATTTGTTTATTTTTTTTAAACCCCTCAAATATTGTCAGGGAAGGAAGAAGTAGATTTGAATTTCATTCATTCAGAAGTGTATTATTTAACATTTCTGCAAGGAATTGCATTTTTTTAAAAAACAGTTAATTTTAGAAAATGCATAGAGGACGTTTGTTTGCCTATACCATCTTGTGATAAAAGCTTTCACTTGCAGAGTAGCCTGAAAAGGATGGCACCTCCTATTAGCCTAGCCTGTCTCTAATTAACATGGAGGAGGAGGAAAAAAAGAGGACCTTTTAGTAATTCAGTAATTTGGAAAAGTAATTAACTGAATAAGCAGTATGGAATGGAATACACCCATTGTTCATATAGTTCAATTTCCTATTAGAGGTCTCCAGATACTGAAATAGTCTTAATTTAGGTAGAGCGGGCTTATTTGTGTGGTGTGTGAAGGGTGAACTTTAGCGTAGCACATGGTTTTTGCAATGATATTGAGATTTTGGCTCTGTTTGGAATGTGTGTTAAGAACAACGATAGTAAGAGTCTTTAATATATTCCCTATAAGAGGTGTGTATTCTTCCAAGTTGGTGTATTGATTCAGCTCACATTTTATAAGAGTAACTTTTTTCTTTCATCTTGCTTCTTTCTGGAACTGTTCATCGTAAGATACAGTGCTTCAGTTTTCCTTGCTAGTGTGCTTGTAGTACTGTGCACCACTAATATGCAAGACTTTACACATAGGTGACAAAGCCTTCTTTCTGGGTAAAGGCTATTCATCCCTTCTTCCTCTTGCTAAAACGCCAAGCCTTTTTTTTTTTTTTCTTAATGACAAATTTATATGTTTTTATATTTTTATTTATTTATTTTGTGATCATCAGAGTTTCTTTTCACCTTTTAGAAAACGGGACAGTACTTGAAGTCTTGACAAATGCATCCCAGGTTGAAAAACTGCTGCATTCCTCTTCCTCTTCCTCCTTTAGAAAATTGACTTCTTTAAAGAGGTAAAGTTGAATGTTGCACTTTTCTGTAGAAAATGTTTTCTTCCCAGGCAAAGTGAACTTAAATCTCAGCTAGTGAACTTAAATCTCAGCTTCTTCTGTAGCATGTCCTGTGGTGTTTTAAATTAACTTATATCCATGTCTCATTCTGGTGACTGATACTTGTTTCCCTGTCAATTGAAAAGAATGTCTTTGGAAACGTTTACTTTCAGAGATCTGTTTAGTTGTATTGTGTGATCTTTTAGAATTATTTGTCAGCGCTTCTGCTGAAGTCAGTCACTCAAGTGTTACTTGAATTTAAATTAATCTAATGTTATTTCTAAATCTGATATCTTATAGGATATTGAAACATGCTTTAGAAATCTGAGGCGGTTCCTTACCCACAGGAGTTTGTATTCTCTGAATGACTTGCTGCCAAGGGCTGTGCAAAATGCTGTATGTAGCCTTGTTCGTACAAAGTTCCTAACATGGAACATACAGCTTTCCAACAGAATTTTTATATCTTATTTCACTTCATTTTCTGTTTAACAAATACTGCTCTGTTCTTAAATACAGATGTTCTTTCAGAAATCAGAACAACTACGTTCTGAGACCAGAATAGGTGATTCCAGTCATGTAGTCTGGCTATTAAAAGGCCATTTATCATAGGACTTCCATGATGTAACTTGTATGTCACACCCATAATTTTTGGTTGAACCTAAATAATTTTCAAAACACATCTGAAAGAAAATTGTAAAAAGTAAATAACTTCATATTTACCTGCCTTTTGCAAATTTTACAAAAAATTCTGCAAGCAACTGTAGCACTTAATATATTCTTGACATTACTTGTCTGAATTTGATGAGCATAAGTGTTTATGGGATTAAAGATGATTGTATCTGTCTTCATATTGTTATCATCTGTTTGTGGAAGTGTTTATCTGTTTTTCCTCATCCAAGGACGTTAAAAGAACTTCAGAAAATGTTGACTGTATTGAAGGAAAAAAATATTAAATTAAAAAAAAAAAAAGGCTTTGAAGCTGATAGGTATTAGTAATTATTTAGGAAAAATGTGGTAAAGATATATGACAATATGGAACAGCTTTGTGGAATATATAGCAATATCAACTTCGTTTTTAAAGAAAAAAAAAAAAGTGACCAAAGTGTCCCTTCACAGATTATTCGGTTTCTTGTTTCTGTTCAGGAAGCTGTTAACCTGCAGGTCCTGTCAAAAATAAACTTTAGATGAAACCTTAACTAAGAATCACTGGCTTCAAACAGCTCTTGTGTTTTACTGTCTCCTCAATTTATCCATTTTCAGGTCACTATTCTTAGGTTTTAGTCTGTAGTATTAGACTACAGCTTAGTTTCACTTCATTGGATTAAAATTTTCTGGGACCTTAATGACTTCCAGGTATTGCCAACCTGTACTGAGATCACCCAGAAAGACAAAATGACCCTTGTTGCTGAGACCTATTTAAACATGAGGCAAAGGGGGTCTAATGATGCCTTGTGTTTTAAACATTCTTGCTATTGCCCTGAGAATTATATTTATGAGAATTTGAAAGATGTTAGAATATGACTGTTGTGTATAAAATGGAAAATAATCACAATAGTTGTCCTTGTTTCCAACATACTATTACAGGAGCTAAATCTTGTCATTTGAATGAGAAGCCTCAAAATCCTTTAAGAACAAGGTTTAAGGAGTAAAATTCTGCCGTTAGGATTTCTAATAAGTGGTTTTATGAAACTGCTTTACTTTGAGCTGTATCTATAACTGTCATTACAATGTCTCATATGATTTATTCCATGATGCTCTTTACTTTGTTCCATTCATCTTTTCTTTTTACTGTGTTTGGTAAGGAAGCAAGAATGGGATGATGTGTTCATCTTAAATAATGTACATTTTAACCTGAAGCACTGAGTCCTCCTTTTTCCTTCTCCTCCATTAACATGTAGTACTTTTGACTTAAAGTCTGAAGAAAACAGTTTAATCATTGTTAGAAGATGGGACCAGTTGTCCAAAATGCAACTTTTCCTATTGTTTGGTATTATATCATTCTGTTGGAAATATGTTAAAAGCTTTTCATTGGGGTAGGATTTTGCAAAATAGTGTTTTGCTGCCAGGATTCTAATTTCTTTTTTCCTTTCTCTTCTAAAGGCAAGAGAGAAGCAAAAGAAGTAAGAAAATGCTGGGATCAGAACGAGGTGTCGTGGAAGAATGGCTGTCAGAATTCAAGGTTAGCTGAGAAGATGAATGATAGCTTTACCATTTGCTTTATGCCACAGAACTTTGTTTTTTTTATTAATATCCAATAATTAACATTTAAAATACTTATTACTTGCTCTTTCAACTTCTTATAATAAAGCATGCAAAAGTCTGTGTAAATTATTCAGCTGGTACATAATGTACAATGTGTAGTTCTAATAGTAGTTTATTTTTATTGTAGAGCAGAACACTGCTATAGCAATGTTGGTTTTTTAAAGCATAGATTTCTGTGTGATCATGCTAATAGAATTTAACTGACAGCCGGGTAACACTGCTCAAATTTCTAAGTGAGCAACATTTTTATTTTTAAAAAATTATTAGAAATGTTTGGAGTATAAAGAAATATTAAAGAAAAACATTTGGCTGTTTTTTCCTATGGTCTGCATAAAATTAATTGTTTTGTGATGAAGAATCTGAAGTATTTTTAAGCTATTTTGCATGTTGATAATTATGCTTAGTGAAATACAGGATAATGCATAAACAAGAAAACTGTATTTCATGACTGATATGAAATTAATCTGTTATTTAAATTAAGAATTAGTAATTCCTCACATTATTTATGATACACAATAAGTCATGATGTAATGTTGTTTGAAACTTGTTGAGGAGCCAAGGATGCAAAATCCACAGATGTGGTGGCTTGGTGATACTCGAGGCTGTCCGTGCTCATTCTAGGTTATTCACACCTCTTAAATAATTTGAGGTGATTTGATAAAGACTTTGAAAACTGCCCGTTAAATACAGAATATCAAGAAAGAAAGTCTTCCTATCAAGCAAGAGCAAATGATTTTATGAAAGATAAATCTGAAACTTCTTTTGGATTTAAACCTGAAAGTTGATATGTGCCCCCAAATGCTATTGGAGAAGAACTTGTACTGAATGAACTAGGTTACAAGCCTCAAAATTTACTGAACTTCAGGAATTTTTCTTGATGTTGGGACAAGACTGAATCCATTTGTGGAGGTCTTTAATACTTGTAAGCATTGATTTATCAGGGTAACACTTTTTCTTTTTTTCTTTTAGGCATTACCTGAAACACAAATTTCCAGCTATGCAGCTACATTGCACCGAAAAAAACCACTGGTACCAGCTCTTTATAAGGTCATTCAAGACCCAAATAATGAGGTAGAAGACTTTAAAAAATATTTTTGTTAACATTCATATATATTCCACCTCTACAACTAAAACTAGAGTAACTGAGAAGTGGAAATGGAGAGTAAGATTCTTCAATTCATTTCTCTAATATAGTCTAACGTGGGTGTCATTTCTCTTTTTGCTCTCTTGCTTTTTGACAGTTACTTGAATGCCTTTCTGGTAAGACACAACCTCATCTGCTCCCAGAAATACAGTTTATGCTGTCTGCTATATTTTACTTGACACAGCTGACTGTTACACATGATTTGGCATGAGGTTGTTTGTTTTTTTACGATCTTTCAGTCGTAACAAAGTAGGCCTTACAGTGAAACTCAGTAAGACCAATGCGCTTCTCACCTAGAGGCTTATTAGTGGAAGGTGGAATCAATTTATTAAATCCTATTAAAATAACCAGATCTTCTTTTGCTTATAGTAGTACCATGTTTGTGTAATTTGGTTTCCGCTGATGTAAACAAGAGGAGAGCCAGGGCCCCAAAATATAAATATACACAATGAAAACTTCGCTTATGCTTGTAGGTAATTCATTTTGCAAATGATGTTAAACCAAGCTTTCTGTTCCATTGGCTTCTGCTATGAGCATTTCTGGGAAAGTGTGTGAAATATGACTTCTGAATAAATTGTGTAAGCATACCATTCTCTGCTGTCTAGACTACTTTAGATAAAATGCTTCAAAATATTTGATTTATCATATGTGATCTCTTCTGTATTGATAAATTAAATGGGAAGTGTACCCAGCAAGGAAGTTCTTTATTTTCCTGAGCACAGCTCAACTGCTTTTGTAAGCTGAATGCTTGATTGAGCTTAAAGGAGATTGCATAATACTCATGCAATGGAAAAAAAAAATGCTTCATAGCTGTCAACTTAATTTCAGTGTTACAAATAACTTGCGTAGTGACCTTTTTTCTTTGTACTGAAGCTACCGTTATTCTCCCTCCAACCTGAAGCCACCTTTGCTTTGTTGTCTTCTAGTGTATATGTATTTGTGTGTGTGTATGCTTCCAAAAACATACAAGCTTTCCTTTGCTTTGAGAATAAGCATTTGATTTATTTTTTTTTAATGATGCAAAGAACGAGATTTGCAAAAAGAGATCTTCTTAAGGGCATGACAGTAATCTTATGTTACTGCACACTGATGCTTGTCGCATATTACTCTCTGGAGCTGCTGTTGCTGTTTGGGCCTGATTCTGATATCAGGTATAAGATAAGCAACCCCAGACTCAAAGATGACTAACTTCAGGTTCTGCTGATTAAGACAGCATGTATTTCCTTGTTGCACTTTGTGCAAACTTATTTGTGTTTGAGGAGTATAACTGTAGTAAATTCATTACTTTGCATAATTCTGTGGTAATACTTGGGTCTAAGTGACAATTTTAAAAAATATCCTTTATAGGGTATCGTTTGTTAGAAGAATAACTGATTGCTTATGAAGATAAAGCTTAAGCAGTAGACTATCATAAAAACATACTTGCTGGAATATTAAACTTGGTGGACAAGTCATTTTTTTAGCACAACTTTGTTGACTAAGTTGACTTATTTTTAAAACTTCCTGAAAGGACCAAACTGATTAGGGCAAACATGAATTTTTCTAGAAACATATAATTCTATCTTCATAAGACCAGGATGATTAATTTAACATGGAACCTGCATGTTTAGGAACCAAAACAAACAACCCAGGTGTTTTTATATATATATATAT